AGTGGCAGATTACATTATCCAATCCCACAGCACAGAAACATCATAAGACTAGGACATATTCAAACTCTTATTTTCCAGTTGACTGAATATATTATGTAAATGAGGTAAGCAACTTTTTGTAGATTGTATGTGTGAGATAATGTAATGTTCTTTTCCAGTTTTTGGGCTACAGTTGAATATACTTTTTAATTATTTAAAGAAGACATCTTTACAGAATAACGTGATGGTTTTTTTTGTATAATGTATTTGATTTTGTAAATACGTATTTCCTGATGTGATTTTTGTGACAAATGCTAAATCTTTTAGTATATAATGTCCTCTCAAAACTGGCAGGAGCTAAATAATAGTTTATGGGCAATTTGTATTGTGTACTGTACAATAACTGGGGACCTTTTATAATTATAAAAATATATATTAACTTTTAGTGTGTTGTTTAAAAAAATGACTGGAACATACTAAAGACAGTAGGATTTTTCTGAATATTTCAGACTTGAACTCAGGCTAGCTTTCTTGTGTTTTTCAAAACAAAATTGTGTCTTGTCTTTTAAAATCAATAAATTTGTTTTCTTGTTACAAACATATCTGAATTGCTTCAGTTTTTATGTAGCCAGATATTTTGGATTGTTGTACTACTGATTTTAAGAGAAAAATTATTTCAACTTACGCCTTCTAAATAAGATCACATTTTTTTATTTCGCAGCAACAGAACTAAGTAACAAATGTGTCTCAGATGGCAAAAGAAACAGTTAAGAGTTGTTAGGATTGGAAGGGATCTCAGGAGATCATCTAGTCCAGCCCTCCTGCCAAGACAGGGTCACCTAAGAAATGTCAGTTCAATTAAGTAGCTGTCACATTCCCAGTAAATAGAGACTGTAATATTCTTATTAATTTCAATATTAACAGTAATTTCCCATTATGGATTTAGCTAGTTAACAGCTATTAGTGAGGGGTACACAGACTTTGGTCTCTGGGAATTAGTGGTGTGAGTTTGTTACCAGTGGAACCTACTTCTGCAATTTTTGCTCTGAATGTTCTGCAATTTATGCACTACATATTCTGCAATACGTTAATGTGTTAGACATTTTGACAGTTTCACAAAACATAGATGAAGGCCTAATCTTACTGGGTCATGTATCTTACGGGGCTCTAGTTGCAGGTACTGTTTTATATAAAGAAATGCAGAATTTTAACTGGGGAGGACTTACTGAGTAATAGATGCTAGAACATCAAAATAACTATTGCATACCAAGCTTAAAACAGGTATTTCACATGAAAGTATGGTAAAAGTAGAAAAATTGCATCCTCAAGCTCACTTTTCTCAGGAAGTTCAGCTGTAAGTTATGGTCCAGTTATTGCCTGTTCTTTAATTTCAAATAAAGACCAAAAGCTTAGTACAGTACTGGTCCCTGCAATGCATCCTGCCAAAGAAGACTACAACTTCAGCAGTGACCAGTCACAGCTATAGAATCATAGAATCATGGAATCATCAAGGCTGGAAGAAACCTTTAAGGTCATCCAATCCAACCATCCACCCAGCACTAACACTGAAACCCCTGAACCACTAAACCATCACCTAGTGCCAGATCCAGACACCTCTTAAACACCACCAGGGATGGTGATTCCACCACCTTCCTGGGCAACCTATTCCAATGCCTGACCACCCTAATGGTGAAAAAATGTTTCTAATATCGAATCTGAATCTCCCCTGTCAGCTTAAGGCCATTTCCTCTTGTCCTCTCACTGCAGGCACGGTAGAAGTGACTGGCCCCCACCTCACTACAACCTCCTTTCCCGTACTTGTAGAGAGCAATGAGGTCCCCACTGAGCCTCCTCAAGACTAAACAAACCCAACTCCCTCAGCTGTTTCTCATAAGATATGTTATCTAAACCTTTCACAAACTTTGTTGCCCTTCCCTGGACATGCTCCAGCACCTCCATGTCTTTTTTGAAGTGAAGGGCCAAAACCTGAAAGCAATACTCAAGGTGCAGCCTCACCAATGCTGCATACAGGGGAACGATCACTGCCCTAGTTCTGATGGTCACACTATTTCTGATACAGGCCATGATGCCACTGGCCTTCTTGGCCACCTGGGCACTGCTGGCTCATGTTCAGCTGCTTTTGACCGGCACCCCCCAGTCCCTTTCTGATGAACAGCTCTCAAGGCACTCCTCCCTCAGCCTGTAGCGCTGCCTGGGGTTGCTGTGACCAAGTGCAGGATGGGGCACTTGGCCTTGTTGAACCTCAGACCATCAAGTCTGTCCAAATCCCTCTGCAGAGCCTTCCTACCCTCCAGCAGATCAACACTGCCGCCCAACTTGGTGTCATCTGCAAATTTACTGAGGGTGCACTCAATTCCCACATCCAGATAATCAATAAAGATGTCAAACAGAACCCAAGACACAGGCCCAATACTGAGCCCTGGAGAACACCACTGATGACCTTCCACCAACTGGATTTAGTTCCGTTCACCACCCCTCTCTAGGCCCAGCCATACAGCCACTTTTTTACCCATCTAAGAGTCTACCCATCCAAGCTGCGAGCAGTCAAATTTTCTAGGAGGATGTTGTGGGAAACGGTATCAAAGGTTTTACTGCAGTCCAGGTAGAAACTTCCACACCCTTCCACTCATCTACTAAGTGGGTCACTTTTTTATAGAAGGAGATCAGATTGGTCAAGCAGGACCTTCCTTTCATAAATCCATATTGGATGGGTTTGATTCCCTGGTTGTCCTGCATGCTGTGTAATGTGGGTTATGGATTTGTTCCACAACCTTGCCTGGAATTGAGGTAAGGCTGACAGGCCTCTAGTTCACCGGATCATCCTTTCAACCCTTCTTGTAAATGGGTGTCACATTTGCTAATTGCAGTCATCTGGAACTTCTCCAGTTAACCAGGACTGCTGGTAGGGGATTGAGTGTGCTTTGGCAAGTTCTTTTGCCAGCTCCTTCATTAGTCTGGGCTGGATCCCCCCAGGGCCCATGGACTTGTGAGTGTCTAATTGGCATAGCAGGTCACTAACCTTTCCTCATCCCCTGCCACTACACTACACTCTGCATTCAACAGATGATGGAGACACTCCTTGACCCTCCTTTTGCTGCCAGTGTATTTATACAAATTTTTCTTGTTGTCTTTAACTGCAGTGGCCAAATCAAGGTCTAGTTTGGCTTTGGCCCTCCTAATTTTCTCCCTACGTGATCTTGCAACATTCTTATAGTCCTCCCAAGTTACCTGGCCCTCCTTCCAGAGACAATAGATTCTCTTTTTTGCCCTAAGTTCCAGCCTGAGTTCTCTGTTTAATCAGGCCAGTCTTCTTCCACAATGACTTGTCTTTCTACACGTGGGGGCAGCCTGCTCCTGAAAATTTAACCATTCCTTCTTAAAGAACATTGAGCCTTCCTAGACACCTTTGCCCTTCACGACTGACTCCCAAGGGACTCTGTCAATCAATGTCCTAAACAGCCAAAGTCTGCCCACTGGAAGTGGGGGCTGGTGCCCCTCCTTACTTCACCCAGCATTGAAAACTAACCTTTTGTGGTCACTCTGCCCAAGACGGCCACTGACCACCACATCACCCACTAGTCCTTCTTTGTTCACTGTCGTGGTTTAACCTCAGCCAGCCACCAACCCCCATGGAGCCACTCACTCACTCCTCCACCAGAAGGATCGGGAAGAGAATCAGAAGGGTAAAAGTTCATGGGTTGAGATAAAGACAGTTTCATAGGGAAAGTAAAAGCTGCACACACAAGCAAAGCAATGCAAGGAATCCATTCACTGCTTCCCATGGGCAGGAAGGTGTTTAGTCATCTCCAGGAGAGCAGGGCACCATCACATATAACGGTGACCTGGGAACACAAACACCATCACTCTTCCCTCTTCCCCTCACTTTATATAGTAAGCATGATGCCATATGGTCTGGAATATCCCTTTGGTCAGTTTGGGTCATCTGTCCAGGCTGTGTCTCCTCTCAGCTTTCCCTGCACCCCCAACTTCCTCACCAGTGTGGGAGTAGGGAAAGCAGAACAGGCTTTGGCTTTGGGTTTGGCTTTGGCTCTGGCTCTGGCTTTGGCTCTGCACAAGCACTGCTCAGCAACAACAGAAACATCTCTATGTTATCAACCCTGTGTTCAGCCAAAACACAGTCTACACAACCTCTGTGAAGAAAGTTAACTCTAGTGCAGCCAAAACCAGCCCATTCACAAACAGCAGGTCTGGCAGGGCACCTCCTCTGGTGGGCTCTTTCACCAGTTGTCTTAGCAAGTTGAGTTCCACACACTCCTGGAACCTCCTGAACTTCTTCCTCTCTGCTGTGTTGTATTTCCAGCAGACATCTGGCAAGTTGAAGTTGCTCAAAAGTGAATGTGAGACTTCTCCCAGCTGCTTGTAGAGTGCCTCACCTGTCTGTTCGTAGTTGGGTGGTTTGTAACAGACCACCAATATGACATCCACCCTGCTGACCTTCCCTGTGGTCTTTGCCCATAGGCACCCAACCTTAATTGTAATCACCAATTCACGTAGCTGGCTCAGTGTAGCTGGGAAATCCTCTCTTTGCACAACCATACAGTCCTTTGAACACAGTCGGGGGGGGTGAATCTGCTTTCTTTCCAGAAAGCTAGACAGTATAGCCCAAGTCACCATTTGGGTCCAGAGAGCACTGGCATACATCCTACAAAAAAGTCTGGAAACAGAATGAGCTGAGGCCAGTTTAAACGTCACATGGTACCTTTAAACACAAGAGCACTTCCAAATACTGATTAATTAACCTTCTTAGTGTCTTTTTAACACAGAGGCATACATACCAAAGTATGGGTTTTTTTAACTTTTACCATGACGGGGGGAGCACGACCTAATCCCAACAACAAGCAAATAATCCAGGGAAAACTTCTGTAGCAAAATAGCGACACCCACTGCTGGATATCACAGTTACACCCTTACGCTCTTCGAAAATAAAGCAGAAGGGGAAACGCCACGGAGGGAGAAGCCAAGCTCAAGGGGTTCGCGAACCTCCTCCTCCTATCGCTGCCACCAACCTCTCGTTCCCGTCCCAGCAGAGGGATGCCCTTAAGCCCGCGCACGGCCCATCCCCACTGGCCGCGGGGGCTCAGCAGGGACGAAGGGAGGGTGTCACGGCGTCACCGCCTCCCCGCCACACGAGCCCCGCTGCTTTTCCAGGGCGGAGCGACACGAACAGGGAGGACAGAGGACGCCGCAACGTTGAAGGGTGAGGATGCTCCTCGCCAGGGAGGGGCTGCCGGCAGGGCTGCAGGTCTCCAGCCCTGGCCAGAGCGCCCTGAAGCTGAAGATGACTGTGACACGCGGGTAAGCACCGCAGCCCCTCGGCTTTTCCCGCCGGGAAGCAGCTGGTCCCGGAGTGCACCGGGCACTTCTCGCTGACGGCTCGGCGGGGAAGGGCCGCCGTGTCTCGCCGGGCTGCCAGCGCCGCTCGCAGCCCCGGCGCGGTGCCAGAGGCTCCCGCCGCCTTCCCTCGCCTTCTCCAGGTGCCGCCGGCGGCCGTGAGCGGGGCCGGGGGGAATGGGCCGCGTCTCTCCCGGTGTGCGCTGTTCTGCGGCGCGGCACCGCCCCGAGGAGTGCCGGGCTCGGAGCGGCAGCCCCGGCCCCCTCGGGGTCGGTCCGGCCCTTGGAGCGGGGTCTCCCCTCGGGCACGCCGGGCTCCGCGGGGGGCCGTGGGAATGTGACGGCGCTAAAGCGGTGGCGAGGAGCCATCTGGGACTGCAGAGGAGAGTTAGGCGGGGAGCGCGGCGCTGCCAGGCGCTGTCCCGGCACGGCTGTACTGAATACGGGCGAGCCCGGCGGAAAGGCGCCGCTCCGCTGTCGGAAACTGCTCCATCGGGGAGAGTACAAGACTGGAGTGTCAGGGTCGTTTCTCCTCCCGTTCCTGAGTTTGAAACTTCAGCCAGGGGTGGTCAGAAGAGGTCTTTCCCCCTCACCTGAAAGACCGAGTATTGATTTCTTCCTGTGGAGACAAATGGGAAAGACAGACTAACCAAGCGGAAAGGGAAGGAGGTAATGGAAGCCAGTCTGTAGCTGTATGAACAGAATTGCGTTTGTTTTGCTCTGAGGCTGCCGGTTGGACCGCTGTGCTGGGAGGGCAGCAGAGCGCGGCGGTGCCTTGGGATGCGCTGTTCTGCTGGCAAAGTCCAAACAGGTCCGGAAGGATAGTGCTTTTAGCCCTGAAGTAATCCTCTCTGGCTCTACTATTTGTAGATAGGCTCTGTTAAGTTGCACAGGTGATGTCGGCATGCATACCTTTACGGGCTTTCTTAAAAGCAATCATTCTTTCAGATTTCTGTCTTTACAGGGTATTAGAATAGCTGACATTTTAAAATAAAACAAACTGCTGGACTCTAGGAGTGTGAAAAAAAACCACCTGAAATTGCTGCATGTATAGAAAGTAATTAGAAATGCTTTCAGTGAGGTGAGCGAATATGAGTCCAATCCTGAGCTGTTCTAGACATGCAATGCTTGTTGTGGCTTTGGTTTTTCAAAATGAATCTCAGTAACTAGATCTCATTCCTGTAGGCATTATCATGACCTCTTAAAGTTTGTCGATATCATATCTTTATGAGTTTTTATGTCATGTAGAGCACATGTGGATAGCCACAAAGACTTTCAGAGTGGAAGCTCGTCATGGAAGTGAGGGGTTTTCAGATGTTTTCAGACTTCTGAAATGTAGACTGGTGCAGCAGCAAGAAAATATATTTGTCTTGTGAAGCCTCATGAAAACAGTTGAGTGCTTCCACCCCTTCCTGTGTTCATCTTAACGGCCTTAATAAATAAGAAAATGCAATCATCTCTGGTTTATAGGAGAAACTGAAGGATGGCACAGCTATGGCTAACTACTCATTATGACAAAAAGCTTGGGTTTAGCTTTTAGTCTAGTAGCTTCTGCCATTAGACTAGTGACTCTGATTTTGCTTGTGAAATGACAAAGAAGGGGCAGCAGGGCAAATGAGAAGAAAGAACTGTTGAAAGGCTGCAAAGTACAATATAAGTAAAATTAACCTGACATTAGCATTCCAGACATCTGTTCTGATTCTGCAGCTATTTGAGGTGATAAATGACCTCCACACATAAATCTGAATGAAGCTATATCATAGTAATGTGCAATCAGTTTGCAAGCATTTGCCTGAGTAAGCAGCAATTTGCTCGAGACAGTTTGCAAATCAGGGATTTTTGATTAGCCCTTAGAAAAAGTCTCAGACATTGCTTCCAGCTGATTGTAATGGACACCTCAGTGCCTTTGAAGATGTCAGTGTGTGGCTGAGCAGACTGAGCATGCTTGGTCTGCTTATTTTGTTTAAGTGAGTAGTTTGTTAAAGATAAAAGACCCCTCATGTGTGAGAACTCCAGCATGACAAAATAGCATATTGAGACCTCTGACAATTTGTTAGGCCTGTTTCTTACAAAGCAAGTTGAACCCTTTTCCCTGACGAACTTTGCAGAAATCATCAATAGGGCTCTAATTTGCAAGCCACATATGGCTTAGAGGAAAGACAGCAAAGCTGCATTTCTGCACTGGCCTGGTGCCAGACCACCTGTTTGTAAACTCAGAGCAATTGTTCTTAGTAAAATTTCACTGCTGGAACTGGTGCTGGCTGCTGCTCTGCTTCACTCCCGCCAGCTGCAGAGCCCCTGTACCTCCTGCTCCACATCTGCAGGCAAAAGCATCACACACACTTGGCCCAGCATCCGTCTGTGAGTTTATCCCACCTCCACCCTCTCCGGCTGGAACCAGGGCAGAGGGCAGCAGTCAGCAGTGTTTATGCAGGTTTGTCTGATTTTCCTGCTGTGAATCCAGGGAATAATCAGTTTTTTCAGGGCAAGAGCAAAAGTGCTAGCCCAGGCAGACTGTTTGGTAGATATTCTTCTGTAAGCTTTAATCCCACAGCCCCTACAAGTATCCATAACTAAGGTTAAATGGAGCAGACAGCCACAATATTTGCAGGTGGCAGTGGATGTGCTGTCCCCACTGCATGTGCATTTTGCACATAGACCTCTTCTGCTGGAAATACAAACTGCTTGCAATGAGAGTGATCCCAAAGTCCATGCAATACTGTACTAGAGGATTAAACTCTTCATTCTTCAGTACCTTCTTGTCCATCTGGGCTAATTTGGTTCTACTGAATTTCAGCCAGAGACCGCCCACATATTGCAGGGCTGTTCCTCTTTTGACTAATAATGGCTCAGCTGTGTCTCACTGACATATTGCTAACTGAAGGCCAGTCTCTTCCATACCCTGTATTATAGAAGGAATTTACCTTCGATCCCAAAATTAGTCAGCATGCATGCAAAAAAACCCAAACAAACCACCACCAAAAACCCAGCAAATCCCAAGCAAACAAAAACCCAAACAAAAACCCCCGAAAACAACAAATACAAAAACACAGAATGCCCTAAATAACAATAAAAACAAACAAAAACAAACAAAAAACCCCTCCAACAACAAAAAAAAACAAGCAACAACAAGAAAACAACAACAACGAGAAAAACCAAAGAAAACACAAAAAGCAAACCACCAACCACAAAACAAACCAAAACCATTTAAGAAGATCTTCTGAAAGATCAAGGCATAAAAGCAGGTTCTGATTATCAAATCCACAGCAATTGCATTAAAATAGGGGTCTATGAGCCTTTCTTTATAATTTCATAATTATGGCTCCAGAGTAATTTATGATAGATAAATATGCAGCACCTAGCAAGTAGATATTCCATGGTAACAGAGGCAATTAGTCATCCATACAGCATTCCAGCAGTTGTGTTGCATTTTATTAAGATAACTCTGCCCTGGACATTGAAACCAGCTTCTGATTTATGTTTCACCACTCCCCTTTTGCATTCTGAGTCAAGACCATAAGTGTCTGAGGCCTTTATGAAAGTCCCTTAAACCCATTTTAGGGTGACCACCTCACTCCTATTCCCTTTGTTCTGCCACAATAGATTCCATGCTGATTTTTTTTCCTGCTGTAATGAGGATCTGCAGTCATTGACCAGCACTGCTTCAAGACAGAGGTGATGCTCTGATGCACCTGGCATAGGTGACCTTTGTGCCTGAGGAGCGGTCAATGAGCTGTGCTACCATTGACCCACACAGTGCCCAGCGCCTCACCAGAGTGAGCACAGCTGGCCTGCCATGCCCACGGCTGGGCAGGGATGCCCTCTCAGGGATGCCTCATCTCAAGGATGCCTCATCTCAGGGATGCCAGACACGGGGGCTGCCAAGCAATTTTTCTGCAGGTCCCATTAGGTCTGAACCCCTTCCTGCTGGTGCCCCCCATCCCCTCATGCGAGCAGTGGGAGCTGCTGGTGGCACCAGGGCACCATCCTCCTCAGGGACGCTGGGACTGAAGGGGGAAGGGAGCCACTGAATGGTCGGTGAGGCTGAGGGGTCGGTAGGTGGCTGAGGAGGCTGAGAGGTAGCTCAGTGGGATGGTGGAGGCTGGAGGATGTGGGATGGCAGGGGCAAAAGGGAGGACTGAAGGGATTGGGGTGAAGGCTGGGGACACTGATGGCTGGCAGGGGCTGAGGGGACGAGGGAGGGGCTGAGGCCACTGAGGTGTGGCCTGAGGGTGCTGAGGGGACCGCAGGGAACTGATGACATAAATACTCAAAAGGCATATTGTTTGCAGTATCAACTGAGACAAGAGAAACTGAGAACCATTGTTTGAAGTTTCATAAACCATAAAAAAGTTTCCTGACCCAGGAGACAAATTGCTCAACCAAGCCAGCAGGACATGAACCAGCTCCGGAGTCATGTTCTCAGGCGACTTGTGACCATGAAAGGATTAAGTGAGGTGGGGGCTATTCCCCAAATGACCACCAGAGACCCTCTTGAGACCATTCCCCAAACTGTATGAGCATGCCCAACTATTAAAGTGTACAGCTCTATCTATGTAAATGATTCCTGAGACGGGGGAAGAGAATTCCGGGAATTTAGACGAATGTATATGTGGTTTGCCTAGATAAATGATAGTTTTGAAACGTCGAGTGCATATGTTAAGAGTGATTCTTGCTGAAATAAAGTGATGCCTGCCTTCTAATACTGAAATTAGTGTTAGAGAGTTTTATTCTTCCTGACATTTTGGTGGCACTGGGGGCACTGGGGTGTGGGGTGGGGACACTGAGGGCACTGACCGGGGGGCACTGGGGTGATGGGTGGGGGCTGAGGGTGCCGGGGGCACTGAGGGCACCTAGGACTGCGGGACGCGGGGCCGAGGGGATCAGGGGCACCGAGCGCACCGGGGACTACGGGACGCGGGGCCGAGGGGATCAGGGGCACCGAGCGCACCGGGGACTGCGGGACGCGGGGCCGAGGGGACCAGGGGCACCGAGGGCATCTGGGACTGCGGGACGCGGGGCCGAGGGGCCCGGCGGGGCCGGCCCGGCGCCGGCACGAGCAGCGCATCGTGCACCCGGCGCGTGCCGGGGCGCGGCGGTGGCGGAGCCGCCCTCGCGCGGCGGCCGTTGTCGTTGCCGGGGCGTTGGGCGCCCGCCCTCGCGTGTCGCGACAGTTGCCGACAGGCGCGATGGCGGAGCCGCTGCTGCCCGCTGGCTTCCGCTCCGGCTCCACCGCCCTCTGGCCCTGCCTGTTTCCCGCTGCCTCCCGGCCCTGCACCTTTCCCGCCAAGCTGTGGCTGCTGGTGAATAACCCCCGCGTCCGCTCCGTGCGCTGGGATGCCCGCGGCGAGGGGCTGTTCATCGACCAGGCTCTCTTCGAGCGGGAGCTGCTGGGCGGGGGCCCCGGCGCTGCCGGGGAGGCGGAGGTCTTCAAAACCAAGAACTTCGGAAGCATCATCCGCCAGCTCAACCTGTACGGGTTCCACAAGCTGACGATGGGGCCGGCTAGTCCCGCGCTGGGGCACAGGCTGGGGCCGGCCGCGGCGGGGGACAGTCCCGACAGCCCCGATGGGCCCCGGCACCACTTCTGGAACCCCCACTTTCGTCACAACCGCCCCGACCTCCTGGTGAGGATCAAGAGACTCACGAAGGCCAATAAGGAGAAGCTGGACGCTGGCCTGAAAGTGCCCAGCCGCCTGCTCGACGACTTGCAGCACATTGTTGGGAAGGGACTTGTTCCTGTCGCCCTCGACCCTCGGCGAGGCCAACGGGAGCGGTGAGACCGGGCGGGACACCGGGGCGCGGTGGGTGAGAGGGTGGCATGGGCTTAGGAAATCGCCACTGCCCTGGGGGAAAGGGCTTGCTTGCCCTTGCTGCTGGCTGCTTAATTCACATGGTGTAGGAAAAATGTCGTTCTTACGGGAGGTTGAGCTGCTGCCAGTAAGCAAAAGGGAATGTAATTATAGATTCCTACAAATGCACTGCCTTTATATATACACAAATATCAATATATCTATCTGAATATCCGTATAGCTATAGCTGTATATCTCACAGGTTCTGTTTGTTTTATCTGCAATAAATGACATGGTTCATGTGTGTTTCAGTGTGCCCATAGACTACAGCACCAGCAGGGACCTAAAACTAATATACATGCCAAATTGTCGCTAGATAAAAGGTGCAACATGCATCCTTCGGTATGTTGAAAATCTTCTTTTTTTTTTTTTTTTCAAAAAAAGTTGCCCAAAGCAGCACAAGTTTATTGTGCTTTGAAAAAGAAAAGAAGTGGCTAGTCAAAAGAAAATTCTGCAACAGTTCTGCTTTTTGCATCTTGTATTTTCAGCTGTGAGAAACTGTATACAACATAGAGAAGAATGGAAAGGAGAAAGGAAGACTTTGAGATCTACTTTAGGAAGACACTAGTTTTCAACGAACTCAAAACAAATTCAGGAAAAAAATTTAAAGAAAAGTCACGAGTTAATAAAAATGTTGCGTAATGCAATATGCTAAGAGCTATTATTCAACACATACTGGTTATCTAAAATTTAAATTAAGTAACAAGGCTAACATGTGGCCTGCCTTAAGTATCTGAAAGACTATTTTCAGCTTTCATCCAACAAAAAGTTCCCCAGCCCAGGATGTGACACATGGTAACACAGTTACCTGACCCAGCACTGGGATGGCTGAGGATGGGCTGAGACTGATGTGACATTGGTGCCCTGTGCTGGCACAACAGGGGGAAACAGATGAGGCAGTCCACGAGATTTTCCTGATCTTGGAATGGGAATGAGCTCAGAGAGCCAAAAGAGTCTTTGTAAAGCTTGTGCAAAAGGCTGTGTGTGATTCACATCATCAGGGGAGCTGTTTCTCTGAAGTATGTACGGACTGGCTGCAGCCAGCATCGCCTCACTGCGCTCTGCTCCACACAGGTAGACAGTTCCTACCCAAAGTCCTCAGTCCATGTTGTCATCTCTCTCTGCTAAGACATGATAGTGAGGAGCAAATGAAACTAAGTAAGCCCCTCAAACCTGTAAGGCTTTTGTTAGAGGTTTAAGTACAATAGCCAAACAGGCACTTAATTCACAAGCATGAGATGTCCTTCCATGAGTTTACCATTGCAAATCACTGAGTCCTGATGTTACCTAAGGGTGCTGTGGGTCCTCCAGATCTCACAGTTGTTGTGCCACACTCAGAAAGAAAAGCTGGGGCGAATTAAGTAAAATTAATGTGTTCATGACAGATACTGTTAGAGAAGATTCTGTGACTTGTATGATTCTGTATGGGGTTCAGACTAGATGATCATAATGCTGATTTCTGGGCTCAGCTCCCATGAATTAGACCCAAAGACTACATGGATGAGATTCTTTAAATATAGCTTTAGAAGTCTTGTTGCAACAGAGTTCATCAGTTGTAAGTCACTGACCTGTTTTTTTCTTTCCTTCTGGATATTCTCATAGTGGACATAAATGAAAAACTTTTAGCCAACACCATCTTTCTACCTTCTGCCTGGTGTGTCCATGGCAACCCCCTGTGTGAGGAAGATGAACGAATGAAATTATCACGAACCATAGTTATGTGCATCTGACATGGTGAGGCATTTTAAATACCTCAAACACACATTTCTCTTCTGTGGGAGGCACTCATACCTTAATTGTACTTAATGCAGACATATATTCTAAGGTAAAGAGGGAGGGAAGGAATTGGGAGGGTTCTGTGTCAGCCAAGCTTTTTAAAAGCATACCAAAACAACAACCCAAGCACACCAACAACTGTGAAAATTGCATGCCTGTATGTAGACAGAGGCATACTATGAACAGTTGATATAGCCAGAAAACTGTTGCCAGCTTTTCGAAATTTGGAAGGCCCAAATATCTGAGAACATAAAACCTTCAGTTAATTTTTTTCACAGCATATTCTGAGTTGGAAGGGACCTATAAGGATCATTGAGTCCAACTCTTAGGTGAATGGCCCATACAGGGATCAAACCCACAACCTTGGTGTTACTAGCACCATGCTGTAACCAATTGAGCTAATCTCAGGTTTTGCTTATGGATGGGATAGTCATGGTGTTGCCCTGGAAACTAATCTTCATTTAATCTGTATTCTGTATTTGAATTAAGATGTTTATAACCCCCAAACTAGCTAATGTACAGCCTACACTGTTTCAGGTTTTCCACCTCGCTGGACCAAGAACGGAAATGTAGGTAGCAAATGCATGGGGATAAAGGACTTGACACTTTGATAATCTCTGTGCAGGAAATTTCCAGTGGCCAAGATGATGTGTGGTCATATTTTCTGGAAGTTGGATGAGCAACACCACAGAAAGAGAAGGGAGGTTGGGAGGACGTTGTCAGGCTTGCAAAGGAAGAATCAGGGACATACCTACGCACCACACTATGAAGAAGCAGAAGCAAAACTCACACCTGGATGTCTGTAACAGGCAAGACTGCTTAGTTTAGACAAAGTTGCCAGCAGGGATGAGAGAAATATGGAGGAACATTCTTAAGTGCCAGCAAAGAAATTGGTTATATACTCTGACTTATGGAACAGTCTGTCCCTGACCTGACCAGCTGTCTGCTGCAGGTCCATGCATCACGGTCAGACTTAGAGCAGAGAGCATTGTCTCAGTGACATTTTGGCTCTGCTTAAAGTCAGTGGCCAAAATGCTACAAGCCTCAAAAAGGTTAATTCTCACCTTCAATCTGTAAACCATCTATAAGCCATTTATAAAATACAACTTTTTAAATTGTTGGACTGCCTTTAGTGCTTTCACTGCCATGTCTGCATGGCGTTAATAAAAGCACCATGGAATCCAGCTGATGGAAGGAATATAACTATGTTATAGTATTACTGCTGACAAAAGGAATGTAAATTTCCCCAAGATCTGATTGTCCCACTCTAGAATAAATAAAGCATAATGGCACTGTCATCTTTGTTTTTTTCCTGAAATGTAAAAATCACAACAGCAGTTTTGTTTCTGTAGAACACACTTGGAATTCCATACTTGGAATTCCAAATGTTCATTAGCTTTAAATCTGCTCTTAGAAGCAGCCACGCTAGAACACTGCCTACAGCAATAGGTGAGGCATTTTCAAAGAAAGTTTGCACTTTGCACTTAGTGGATGTTGAGGGACACTCTTTTTTATCAGTACTGATAACCAAATATGAGGAGTAATTAAAAAAAAACAATCAAAGAAAGACTGACTGATATTTACAGGTTTGAATTAGGCTTAAATACATTACTGTGGGTTTTAAGAACCCATTAATAGGAATGAGACTACAGTACTTTGCCATTTTTCTGTAAAACAGGGATTTTTAAAATTCTGATAAAATACATGATGAAAAAAGAAAAAAAAGGCTAACAAGCTGTAGTAAACTTTAATGTATGAAGATTGTATTCAGCCAGTTTAAAGTGTGTATTTCTTCATCATGGATTGTAACAGGTATATTTTTGTGTTTTCTTGTAACTGTTTCTTTTCCCCTTAAAGCAACAAATATTTCATTTGTAATGCTTATTTTATTATAAGCTTATAGAAAAAAGCTATACTATATATATTAGATTCTGCAGAAAATGAAAAGTTATGTAATATTTTGTACAAATGTAAAAAATGTGCCTGAAATAAAATGTCAGTTTGTGAATCCCTGATTTTGTTTCTAGCAGTTTAATTAAGCAACCGTAGTGTCTTTATGACAATGACGTCAAGCTACAGAATCATTTTATTAAGTGATTAATTCAAATCCATCCTCTTTTTCAGCAGAAAGTGAAAGCACAGCCCATTGTTACAGCAGTGTCGGTCAAAACAAAGCAGAATTTTGATTCCTATTCATTATGGTAGCTTGAGAATGCTAAAGCAAGCTCCTGAATTTATTTACTGACTCCTGATATTGACTGCCTCAAGTTCACATTCAGTTGGATTAAAACTTTTAGAGCTCTCTGCTTACATTGTGTCTTGACCAAAATAGTTACACCTGCAAAATGACAGATTACTGATGAGACTGATAAATAACAAATTATAAGCTTTGAAAACATTGGCTGTGTTAAGAATTGCCAGTGAGCTGGGACTGTCAGGAGTAATTTTAATAATTTCAGTAAGGTTACTCAGAGGATATTTACATCTAAGTTCAGCAGAATCAGAGCCTTAATAGTTCAGTACTGAGAATAGTTGAGAGTGCAGATGATCTGTGTATGCTGAGAGGAAGCACACCTTGCCTGAAGGGTCTGCATTCCTCTTGCCTCCCTTTACTTAGTCTGCACTGTTGCTTGTACGTACTTATGACGGGGTAGTTCCTACCATACTGCAGTCTTCTTGCTGGCACAGGGCTTAAACTCTCTCTCTGGAATTGTTCCTGGAGGCTGTATGCCTTTTGCTGAGCTTCAGTGACTATGAGTCTATCCAATGGGCCAGCTGAATGCTTGTCCAGAGTCATTTGGATGTGTTTTGATTATTCGGCCTGTTCTGCCTTACCTCTGCCACCTGTAAAGCTACTCTACCATGTGAAGGTAGATTGGAAAAGCCACTACAAGTCATGCAGCAGCCACCAGCCCCTTTTCAAGGTTTTATGTATTCTCTTTGGCTGACTCCATCTATGAGGCTCCAAGCCTTTCCCAGCATCCAGATGGCCAGAGAGAGGATACCTGGTGCACATGTCAAGACTAATGCTTTCCCTGTACTCCACAGCTGGGTTACTTGTTTTGTCTCTGGTTGACGTTGGTGCCAACAGCAGAAGAGCTGTTGTATTTGATTCAGCCTTTAGGTGCCTCGTCATTTTCTGTGCCTTTCCAATTGCCATGTCATCTAGCATTTAAAATGACATGCTGGACAGGCAGGTCCAAAAGTAGATCCCAATTAGATGCCTAACTTCAGACAATTAGTGACAGCTCAAACTTCCTTATGCATCTGCTGCACTGTGTCCTGGGTTGGAAAACAGTGTTTGAGAATTAACCTCACAAAAAAGGTCTGTTCCCCTTGGATTGGTTATCCAGTCCTATTCCTGTAGCCACAGCAGCAAGATGATAGAGAGCACTTACCCCTACTGGCTACAGAACTGAGCCAGGGGAAAGAAGTATGACTGGTTCCTCCTTTCCAGTTGCTGTCATCAAATGCCTTGAAAAGTGCTGGGTTTCAGTGTGCTATTTTATCAGAAAAATCCTTACATGCTTGAAAAGCCTGCTGCAGGTCCCAAGAACCAGTGAAACCACCCAGAAGGAGACTGAATGCCCCAGTGATTCTTGGGGGCATCTCGCTGCTGGTCTAAGAACTTCTGAAGGCTGTTGAAGCAATAGCTGTTTCATGGTCTATGGCTCTGTGCTCTTTCCATAGCCCAGTTCTGTTTGTAATCCATACCAAGCCCATTTCAGAGCACCAAGTCCTGGAAACCCTTTGGTTTGGAATACTCTTTACACAACTCTCCCTGTTGCATTGTATAATCCCAAATGAAACGTTTTGGGTAATCCCTTTGCTGTGGGCTTTAACTGGGTCTTTGAGCAGCAACGCTGTCCGAGTGCAAGGCACCTGCTCTGGGGCAGCTGTGGAAGCGGAGCCATGTCATGGTTAGAGCCATGTGGCATGGATACTGCAGCCCTCTGCCAAGAGGTGCTGGCTGGCATTATCAGATGGGCTGTCATGCAAAGTCTGTGTTCAGCAGTCTGTGGTCAGAATGGGTAAAACCTTGACGCCTTTCATTGAATCTGCACTCAAGGACAAAGAGAACATCCCTCCCCAAGGAAGCTGTCACAGCACCAAGATTGACAGAGTTCCGGAAGACTTTGGACAATGCTGTCAGGAACATGGTGTCATTCTTGGGGTGGTCCTCTGCGAGGACAGTAGTTGGATTTCGATGATCCTTGTGAGTATTCTGTGATTCTGTGAACATGTCACACAGTTGGGGGGATATGTGGTCCTTTGGGGTTGTGAAGAGTTTTGTTGGTTTGAAAAATTTGAAAAATTCATCCTGGATGTGGGCTGGATAGGAACTCAGGCATGAAGGGAAGGGGTGTTGTAAGAGGTATTTCCACAGGAACTTGGGGCAAAGGATGTTCTTCTTTCTGTAGCTAACACCAATGCTGGTTTTTAAGCACTTATGGCGCACTGAACCATGGAAGTGATTTTGAAGAAGAGAGAGCTAGAGAAGGGAGAAGGAATCACAGCATAATTTGGGTCTCCCTTCTCAGTGAGAGCTGAGCACTGCTGGCTTGGAGCTGAGGAAATTAATGGGAAATAAGTGAAGCAACGCATCACAAGATCTTCCGACCATCATTTCATGTTTAGGTGGAGTTTGAGTGACTTTAGCGTATGTAGAGTGTGAAAAGTAATACATATTTTCAAGTTAATGAAACAAAGTTCAGTTTTAGATTACCACCTGGATCATTCCTTTGGCTTAGTTCCCATTAGCTGCATTGATTTCAACAAAGCAAGACTGCAGCATTTTCATATCTCTCTATCCCTTGTTGCATGTCTCCCTTAGATGTTACACCAAGCTCCCTCAGTGTTCCCTCAGTGCTATGAATGTGTGCACACAGTTTGTCCCTGGTGACTTACAGCCAACACATGCACTCCTTGCTGAACTTTGTTTTTTAGTATTCTCCCCACAATATCCACTACAGTCACTCAAACAACACAAACTCAATATGAATATGAAACATCAATCAGGTGTATGTTGAGTGGAGTATCAAGCATGTGTCTATTGAATGGAACATCAGGCTTGTGTTTATTGCATGGAACATCAAGCATGTGTGGAACATCAAGTGTGTGTATATTGCATGGAACATCAGGTGTAAATAGGAATTGCAAGGAAGTTAATCATTTCATCATATTCCAAATTTTTACATACAGTACCATTATTAAAGCAAAACATATTAAGGCAAAATATATATATATATGTATGTATATATGCAGCAGTAGGTGACCATCCAAAGAGGATCCTACCATTGATGTTCTCTGTCTTTCTTCACTCCTTCTAGCACGTGATGTATTTCTTCCACATCGTGATGGACAGTAATCAAAACTTTGTCCATTTTCTTGAGCTTGCTTCAACAGCAGCTTTCTTATCAAGGTGAGATTCATTATGACAAGAGTATCAATTGATAAGATGTAAAAGGAGTTTAGTAATTAAAATCACATCCCATAATTTCAATGAAGTTACAGATCCAAACATTAGAGTGATTACTTGGATCTACAGCAATGTTATCTATAAATACAAAATCACAAGGGATTGTCATACAAGTGCATCCTTTTCCAATATATACAAATATGGTTTGAGGGGTTTCATCAGGATGTATTTCAAAATGATAAACCGTTTTTTCAGTATCAGGACAAATGTCTTGGGCTTTGATGGTGTTATGTTCGCAAATAAATCCTTCTTGTCCCCCCATAGCATATGCATTAACATCAATGGTTTGCCATTTACTTCCAATATGTTGGGCCCATGCTCTGTGTTCCAGGGGATAGACAGCTCCATTATGATTTAATCCTGAAGCGATGGTATGATTTGGCACATCGTCTGTACTGACACAGGTACTACAATGTGCACTGTGCCCAGCATTTACAGGGAGAAGAAGGGGAGCTTGCCCTGCCAGCCCTAGCCCCATCTGCCCCCAGCAGGAGCACTGCACATGGCAGGTGTTGGGGAACAGCTCCAGAACAATCAGCTGCCTGGAGCAGCCTCTCCCCATGCCCTGCAGCTGAGGGAGCTCCTGAGGGGCTGAGGGAGCCCGTGGGGGAGCCGCAGGGCCCTAACACCAGCTTCCACATATCGTGTGGTGGATGAGGACTTGTCTCATGGGTCGAGCACAAAAGGTAATAGTGAATGGGGTAACATCAGACTGGCAACCCGTCACTAGTGGGGTTCCACAGCGCTCCACCTTAGGCCCTGTGCTCTTCAGCATGACTCAGACAGAGGACTGGAAGGGATACTAAGTTTGCAGATGACAGAAAACTGGGAGGAGCTGTTGACTCCCTCGAAGGCAGGGAGGCCCTGCGGAGAGACTTGGACAAATTAGAGAACTGGGCAATCAGCAATCATATGAACTCCAACAAGGAGAAGTGCTAGATTCTGCCCCCATCAGGTATGGGGCAACACTGGCTGTTTGTACAGACAGGGGAATGAGATGCTGGAAAGCAGTGCCATGGAAAGGGACCTGGGGGTCCTGGTCGATGGCAAGTTGAATATGAATCAGCAGTGCCCTGGCAGCCAGGAGGACCAACTGTGTCCTGGGGGGGATCAGGCAAAGCAGCGCCAGCCGGTCGAGGGAGGGGATTGTCCCGCTCTGCTCTGCACTGGGGTGGCCTCACCTTGAATATTGTGTGCAGTTTTTGGCATCACAGTATAAGAAAAATAAGAAATATTAAGCTATTAGAGAGTGTCCAAAGGAGGTCAATGAAGATGGTGGTCTTTATTGAAGTGATTGAGGTCACTTGGTCTGTTCAGCCTGGAGAAGAGGAGACTGAGAGGAGACTTCATTGCAGTCTACAACTTCCTCCTGAGGGGAAGTGCAGGGGCAGGCACTGATCTCTTCTCTCTGGTGACCAATGACAGAACCTGAGGGAATGGTCTGAAATTGTGTCGGGACGTTAAGACTGGATATCAGAAAAAGGTTCTTCACCCAGAGAGTTGATTTGGAACAGGTTCCCTAGGGAAGTGGTCACAGCACTAAGCCTGACAGAGTTCAAGAAGCGTTTGGATGATACCCTCAGGCACAGGGTGTGACTTTTGGGGATGGTCCTGTGCAGGGCCAGGAGTT